AGGAACCCAAAAATTCAACATATGTAACAATCGACAGCAGGTAATGATATTGTTTATAACCTTGAATAAAAAAAGAAATGAATAATAGGATACGTGCCTTGAAGTTTACAAGACATATATTTTAGGAAGCGCCTCTGTAAAGCTTCTAGTTGATTTATATAAACCTGGTAGTAAGGACTCCACACAACATATGCATATTTCAGCCTAGATCGAACAAAAGTTAAATAAAGTAATTTCAATGTTGTCTTTTGTATTTATAAGAATCCATACATGCGATAAGCAGCTGTCAGAGTAGTGCCAATATGTTTATTGAACGAGAGGGATGAATCAAAAGTAACACCTAGATTAGGGAGTGTGTCAGGAGGCTCCAGAACTCGATTGTTTAAGACGTAGTTTTCAGTGACATCATCATTGACAACAATCTCAACTCCGATATCATTGATGAGCATGTTAAACAGTGGGGGTCCTAGGTTTGAGCCTTGTGGTACACCAAATGTGGCTACATATACGATTTAAAAAGAGTATTTCAGTCATTGGAAAACTCAAAAGTCGAAAGCTTGTTGAGCAGGATACTATGGTCAAGTCTGTCGAACGCTTTAGAAAAATCAGTGTAGATGGCATCAGTCTAAGATTGACAATCAATACTTCGCGCACTATATTGAGTAATTGGTGATGGTTGAACTCCTGTCGAAAAACCGTGTTGATTGAGGCTAATAACGATGTTGACATTACAGAGGATTTTCTTCTCAATGTCTTCCAATGTCAAAACATTTTTTCGTGTTTTTTGGCCATGGTCTGTAGGTTTTGATGCTTGCATAAAAACCTGCAGATAGCAGGTAACCGTAAAATAGCTTTGACCACAGCCGTAAAACTATACATTCTGTGAATAACCTCCAAAATTATATCTGAACCTTGTTGACAAATCAGTCAAGCCTATTGGAGAAAGTCAAAATGTGACAGACTATTAATGATATGCCTTATGATCCAACACTTTTTACGAAAACCTTGATCAAAGGTATACGTGTTTTGGAACATTCCTGAACTTGAGCAAAGCCTTCAACTTGGTGGATCATTCTATAGTTTTGGAGGAATTAGAAAGGCATGGCATAAGCGAAACACCTCTCCCGTGGTACATTAGTTACTTGAGTATTACAAATCTGTATGTTTATGTGAATAATTCTAAATCAAATATTTTAGACAGCTCATTTGGAGTAACTCAAGGGTCTATCCTAGGGCCCTTATTATATTTGATTTATGTTAATGATTTTTCGTGCCAAGAGGCAATTCTATTTGCCGATTATAAAACCCTCCTCATTTCTGATGAAAATATAGAAAGTGTGTTCATTGAAGCTGATAAAAAAATAAATAATAGCTCCTGATGGCTTCGAGAGAACAAATTAGTTCTAAACGTAGAAAAATTTTATTTTATCAAATTTTATAACTTGAGATACCACTAGTGGGGATAATGCCATTGAACAGATTGCTTTGAATGAAATTCTTAGGTTTGCATCTGAAGAGTGTTCTTGGTATACATCGATAATATTTGTAGAAAAGCAGCTTTGACCTGTTATTGCATTGACCAACTTCGTCATGTGTTAAGCAAGACAGATGTCCTGAATTATTATCACGAACACTATCAGTCATTGATACATTATACAATAATTGCATAGGAATGCTCTTGAGAAGCCAATCGGGTTTTCAACTTACAGAAAAGAGGTATCAGAACAAAAGTTTTGAAAAGCTTGTATATAGTTGATGTTCTAAAATATATAAGTTCACGAGTAGATACCATAAATTACCAGCATTTCATTTCACACCCACAACACTAGAAATGGAAATGAATTGGAAATCCCGTAGATTGAAACAGTATGAGAACTGTCCCAAGTATATTGACGTTGAACTGTACTATGAAATAGCAAGAAAGGAACGGCAAACATATTCGTTGCAGCAACTTTGTTCTCAAGCGAGTTCCATGAATTTTCGAAAAGATAGAGATCAGTAATAATTGGATAGCCAACCAAGACCCTACCGTTGGCCGGCCAGGTCACCGGACCTAACGCCTATGGACTTTTATTTCTAGTCAAGGTTGAAAGATATCATTTTCAAATGGCCGACCAATTCTAAATACGAATTGGAAGCGGCAGTGATGCAAAGTTTAGCTTCTACCTCACCCATTGAACCAATTAATTCGGCAAAAAACGTTCAGAAGAGATGTCGCCTGTATGTAGAAGAAGCTGGTAGAAATTTCTTCTTAAAAAAATATACTTTATTGTTTGTTCAAAATCTGTTTAAAATCTGTTTTTTCGTTAAACAGCTGTCAACCCCATACGAACGACAACTCTCAGGAGTGGAGAAACTTGTGCGAGCTAAGGACTAACGAGGTCTTACCTTTTAACGTATGATTCCTAACACGGTTCGTCATTATCATGATTATTATTGTTGAAATTTCATTTATTAGTAGTAAATATTGTATATATTTTTAACAGTTGTATTGAAAGTATACGTTATAATTACTGCTGTGAAAAGCTTTCTCAACATTTGATAGCTACTACTAAACAATTATTTTCTGTACTACTGCCGCGTCATCCAAAGCATGCTTGATCAAAGTACGCGTTTCAAAGTCTACATGAAAAAACCTGAAAGCTCTGTATTTCAAAGTTGACTCTAACAAAACATCAAGTGTGCTACAAGCTCTACTGAAATATGCAAAAGTATACAGGGTGTCTCATTAAAAATTAGTTCTCCATCAATAACTATTGATATCTCATTTGAAAAATAAGTTTTTGACACTATTCTATTCTATGTAAAAAGAGCTTTGGAAATGTTTTCATTGAAACAAAAAATTGTTGACGATATGCGGTTTTCACCATTAAGTTTGTCATGAATTATGACTCTTAGACACAGCCATCAGTTTTGATTTATCTAGTTTAAAAACAGGAGTTTCTCTTTAAAAGTGTCCAATTTGGGCCACTCTGTACTTATGCGTGAAAATGTATATAGTGTGTATATTGTGAAGTATTGTCTTCATTGCGTTATTAGTATGGATGAACTATTTCTATCTACACACATCGGAAAAGTCTAGAGATATTTTTAAAAATGGCAATAATTTTTTTTAGATCGCTTTAGGGAAAAAAAAGTTGACGGGTGATTATTAAATGAATGTAACTTACAACAAAATTTATTAAATGGTCAAAAATACTGAGTGCGCATATAAGCAAAACTAAAAAAAAATATGGCTCTTCTTTGGCACCCCGAAAAAAAATCATAATACAAAAAAAAATTGGAATCAGTACAAAGTATGGCCTCCACGCTGGTTTATTACGGCCCTACATCTGTCTTGTCTGTCATTCACCGATTAAAAGCTCTCTCAATTGAAACGTTGTGTGAAAGTCCCCCTTATGCAAAGTAATTCTTCGTTGAAGCATGTCTCACACATGATCGATGGGATTCAGGTCCGGTGATTGTGCTGGCCATGGCAATACATCAACTCCTTCGTTGGTGAGCCAGTCAGTCACTAGACGTGCGACATGTGGACAAACATTACCGTGCATTAGGTGGAAGTTTTCACCAACAGCACCAGCAAACGGACGGACGATAGGTAGAAGAATGGTGTCGAGGTACTGTCGAGCTGTGAGGGAGCGATTTGGAAAAGGAGATCGGTTCTGCCGCTGATCATGATTCCGCCCCATAGCATTACTGAACCACCTCTGTATGTGTGGATCCAAATCCAAATATGGATTCGTCTGTAAACAAAACTGTGGCCCAATCATTTGCATCCCAGTTTTGATTTTCTTGACACCACTCTAATCTTCTACCGCGATTGCCTCTCGATAAAGGTGGACATCTAAGTGGCCTTCTGTTGTGGAGATCTGCTTCATGCAGTCGATTTCTGACAGTATCACGACCAATGGTTACCTGGTGCGTCTGCTGCAACACGTTAACCAACTCAAGTGCTGTGATTGTCGGTTGTCTTCTTGCGGTTAAGACCAAAAATCGGTCTTGAACTGCAGTTGTAGCGCGTCCTCGCCCTGGATGTTGTTCGGCTGGACTGCCAGTTTCACGGAAACGCCGCCACAATCGACTGATAACACTTTGGGAGACCCCCAAACGAAGAGCTACATCATTTTGTCGCATGCCACCTTGAAGAAGCCCTACAGCTCTATTCATCTCAGCCAATGGTAAGTGATGGCGTTCCATGTTAAAGCACAATATTTCCAGTTTAATTGCTGAGCAAGAACTGCATAGAATGTACAAACTCGACACTTTCAGATTATTCATTTTAGCCGAAAACCTACAGTTTGTGAAAAACTTGATGAAAGATTAGTTACCGTTTTTGCAGGCTTTGTTCAACCCATAGAAATATACAGGGTGGTCGAGTGTACCAATTTAATCGAAATTAAACGACCTCATGCATTTATTTTTATGATATTTAGTATGTTATAAAAATATCCCTAGACTTTTCCGATGTGTGTATTTGTGTATTGACGAACCTTACATATTTTTTATGGCAAAAAAATGGTAACAAACGATCTGAATTGAATTGAATAAGTTGAGTTCGTTATATCTTTAGGCATTACTTCGATGACACTTATTATTATCATGATTACTATAATTAAATAAACTCTTTTGCCAAAAATACACGCTGGTATTTATGCAGGCGAGAAAGAGTATCGAATACGCTGGTCGTTTCAAATAAATATTTCAAATGTGCTCCCGATATAAATAGCCATACGAAATTCAACACTGTCTTTGTGTAAGACCTCGTATTCGCGAAGTATTTTTAGTCGCACCTCTCGAATTCTATTAATTTCTTTGAACAACTCATCATCACCAACAGATTCAGTCACATCCACATGTCAATCAAAACACAAACATGTTTTCGCAAAAAAAAGGAATTTTCCGCGAGTAATCTTTTGTTTTTCGCCAAAGGTGTTAATCTCGTTAGAATAATTTCAATGTAATGAATTGGTACAGCAAATATTACAAAAATTTCGACTCACATTCAATCGGGCCGATGAAGAAAACTTGGTCAAAATGTCGGTATTTCCATACAGACGGCTGGCGGATGACTAATTTTGTCTCAGCGTCGACGCTGACCGGCGCTGAGACAGGCGTCGCCGACTTCAATGTGCGCATCTCTGGATCTTGTACGGGGCGTTCCAAAAATATCTCTCTTTAACAGGTTGAACTGGAACCCTGACTTAAAGATTGTTAGTTAGTCTGACGATACGTAATTTTGATGGAGTGTTATCGAAGGACAATATATTTATTGAAACATCTACTACTTGAAGAGTCCTAAGAGTCCTGTGAAGATTTTGATGGTATTACTTGTCCAAATCTAGCGTATGCTATATTCCGCAATACAAATTTCACAGACGTTGTTGTAGCTTTTCCATTCATATGTTTTCACGGACAAAAAAAAACTTTTCAACGTCAGTCATGTCATAACTCAAAGATCTCCTCTTCTATGGTTACTGCTGATGGATAGTCTGCGCTTGATGCCCTAGACAGAAGAAAAGTAGATCTGCAAGCTTATGCAGATGACCTTGTCATTTTGGCAAGGTCCACGTAGGAAAGAGTAGCTTGTAATATCTTCTAAAGCACGTTAGACGTTATTCACAGTTGGTGCCTGAGGGAGCAGATATCTGTAAATCCCAGCAAAACTGTGATAATCCCCTTCACCAGGACGAGAAAATTGAAAGATTTGACGCTACTTTTCCCAATGGTGAGGTCATTCCATTTGGAACGGAGGTGAAATATCTTGGCATTGTCCTTGAAAAAAACTCACTTAAGACGCTCACTTGGAAGAAGTTATACACAGACTGTCCCTATGGACATGTCGACGGATTTGTGGTAAAACTCGGGGTTTAGGTCCCAAAAAAATCGATTGGATATATGTTATGATTGTCAGACCATGGATCCCTTATGGAGTAATTGCCTGGTGGTCGAAGGCTTTACAGAAAACGACCCAGGCGAAGCTGTCTGGCTTACAGAGACAGACTTGTCTGGCCATCAGTGGTGCCATCGTTATCACACCGTCAACGGCCATGGAGATCCTTCTAGATCTACCCTCTCTCGACATTTTTCTGGAGAGGGACGCTAGATGGGCTGTATATAGACTTGTGCACATTGCCAATTGCACGAATGAATTGAATGCCGAGTGCCACAGACTGTTGGTTGACACTGGAAGTCACAGCATTCTGGAAATGACCTCTGACTTCATGCCTTCAACTGTCAACTACGAACTGCCTTATAAAGTACTGTTCCCGAGTAGAGGACTAGATCCTCTGGGAGAAGGAAATATTAAGAATAGATAGTTGTTGATTCACAGATGGATCAAAATGGATCGGTTCTGGTACTGGTTAGTCACAGACCCTGGATAGAGATATCAACCTGATTAGAAACCTATGCGACTATAGTTCAAGCGGAAATTTACGCTATTGAATTGATCCCACCTCATATCAACGACTTATTGGAGAAAACAAAGAATCCAATATATATTGGTTTACTGACGACGGCACACTTGTCTCGTTATTCCATTTGCATTCCAGGACATCAGCTACGGATGCACATCTTAACCGGCAGCAGGAGGTTGCATATCTCAATGGGGATTTCTAGCTGAGGTGAAACCAACCAACATGCGGTCAGTTAACTGTTTCTTCATATCTTGATACTGTTTCATTTGGTACGGAGTTTTGTCAAAGGTAATGAATATGTTTTTGAATTTATCATGGATTTTATATTTTTGTTATTGTATATTATATCATTCGCCTTCTCAGCCGAATTAAATGCGATTTTTAGAGGCCTAGGTTCAGTTTAATTTCCATTAATTCTCTCAATAACAATAAATCCAGTTCGCATTAATGACGATGTATCTCTGTAGTTGTTCGTAAAATGATTTTTTGCTGCGAACTGGTTTATTTTGGGCAAAAACCCAACAGACATTTTTTGTTTACAATGAAACAGGCTATCGGAAATAAATTTTTAAATGGTAAACAAATGATAAGACAAAAAGTTACATTGGAAATAAATTTTAGGGGTTGTGTTTTCTACCCCTTACAACCATGGGGTAAACCAAATAAATTACTGGCTAAGTGTCTCTTTGGTAGTACAAAACGTCAGGTCAATTTCAATATTGTAACTTCTTCAGTGCTTGTGAAAAAATTGTCATACAAATTTTATGTACTCAATTTAAGGGGCTGTATCTTAACAACGGATGCTCCAATGAAGTTTCTTTATATGAAAGATTCTATCTTTTCTTGGATGAGGATTACCTCCTTAAATGTTTTACGCTTATTCAGTTACACCCTGTATTAATGATACTGACTTCAATTTGTGTAAAATGTTTTTAATATTAATTTATCTTATACATATTTTTTCGAACTAATACTGTACTATACTGACATGTTCTATATTACGCTAGACATAATCTAAATAACTAACAAATTATTATTATTATTATTTTTATTATTATTAATAACGACAGGTTTATCAGAGATTCTCAGACAAGTTAATCTGCCCTTTCGATAGTAATAGACGAAGTCAAGAAGATAAGTAAACATTTTTACGTATCTGAGTATTTTGAACCGTTGATAAGATTACAATGATTATAGTGGGACATATAATGGGTATACCAAGGCCAGCGGGAAACGCTGATTCAGATGGAATCGAGTTAGTCAAATTAACACCATACTAAATGGCTGGTGGCGAACGGAGCTAGTGCTGATTTTTTAGTACGAACGCGTCTTTCAATGTGCCTCAATTGAACCGGATTAGGTATTGCTCGCAAGTGTGAGTTGGTTTATTTTTGACAGATTTGTGATTCCCATGTTCGAGTGGTATGCGAAGGTAACGTTAACGTTCTTTGGAATTTATAATCAAGAGATAAGAGCTTATTATAATAATAATACATTCTTTTTCTCAAAGACGTCAATTAAGTATAGGAATAGTCAACTATAAATATTACCAATGAGCAAATAATTCATTATTATTGATTGAGTAAGACTTCAGAAACGTTTTTGAAATCCAAATCAACTCACTTATTTTGGAAGCTCATTAAAAATTCTCATTTGAATTGTATATCCGAGGTTTTGCATCTGATGCTTATGAAATCCAATAGTGTTGAAGTGAAGAATACCTATCAAAACTACAGCAGGATTAGGTTCAGGGTCACTAGAGGTTGCCCTCGATATTTTCCCTTTTGTGATCGCTCCTGATAGAGCCTGCTTGATGACCTCAACAGAAGAAAAATAGATCTACAAGCTTGTGCAGATGAACTTGTCATCTTGGCAAGGTCTACGTCGGAAAAGGTAGCTTGTGATTTCCTCCAGAGCACGATGGACGTTGTTCACAGTTGGTGTCTGAGGAAGCACATGTCAATCCCAACAAAACTGTGATAATCCCCTTCACCAGGAGAAGAAAATTGGATGACCCAACGCCACTTTCCCTTGATGGTGAGGTCATTCCATTTGGAACAGAGGTGAAATAGCTTGGCATTGTCGTTGATAAAAAACTCACTCACAGATTACCATAGCAGCGAAATGATAACTGACAGCTATTTGTTGACACTTTGATTTTTGCATATTTGCCTGGTTTTGGTTCGCAATTATCGCAATAAACTATGTGAAAAGCAGCAGCAATAGTGAGTTTCAAAATGTGCCTCACGAAATTTCCAATGCAGCAGCTGCTGCTATAGCACAATTATTGCCGGAAAAATCAAAGTGCGGGTACAACAACGTTTATGATTTGTTCTAGAACTGTCAAATTATCTTACTTGTGGAGTGTATGTCAAAAAGTTCCATTTTAGGGAACATAACCACTTTCTTTTGGGAAAGTCGCGTCGCGTCTACTGTAAGACGACAGGGGCGATGTGCGGGGGTAGAGGGGCGGTCTGAGCAATGAAACGCCATCGCTGAGAACGCGGGCAGATGCGTGAGGGCAGACGTTGTTGACAGTTGTGTTTGTTTTGCGAATTTCTTTATAGGTAACATAATTCGATTCTCGACGCTATTCATCACTCAGTGTAGTTGAATTATTTTTTAGTTACTGTATTTTGGAAGTAAAAATATAAATAACTAGCCGTTGCCCGTTCTTATATTGACGTACAGCCGATGCTACTGAAAGTAGAATTTTAAAATATGCAGGTAGGTTCCTTGTATAGCATAAATAAGCATCGAGAAAGGAAATCAGGAATTTTCACCAGCAAGGGGGGAAAATAGGGGTTCAAAAATTGTATTGAATTTCCTCAGTTTTGTAGTTGGAAACCTGAAGTTTTGAGTTGATGAAAAAATATTGTAAGTATTTGTTTAAAATGGTCTGTCATGAAACTTAATGTGACAAACCAAATTCTACGCAGGTAAAACGCGGTACCTATTATATAAAACTTCCCACATAAAAATAATGATAAGACCTCGTACTCCCATACATGCCACACAAAAAAACTGCTAACGTTCGGTAACTATTTACTTTTTATGCCATTTGAATTGACTTCGTATATACTGTACCTATCTTCGGTTTGAATTTCTATATTTATCACAAACAAAAATAAAATGTTCGAAATTTTGTTCTACATAGAAATATAATGAATAAATGTATCTCATTGATTTGATGTTCTACACGGTTGTCGCAAAAATAGTGTGAACTTCCGAAAACAGTTTTTTCGACTCGCCGCCAACGGCTCGTCCTAAAATTTTGTCAAATTTCCAAAAAAAATAAGTTTTTTCCGGACTTGCTACGTAAATTACTATTGTGACTTACATTTCTATAAAGAAGTTCACTTTTATCATCCAACTCAAACGGTCATCATCTTGGTTTCAAATTTACTTCTCAAGCTAACGATACTGAGAATGGAATATGAAACATTCGGAGAAATAGTTTTTTGTGTAGCTCGTACACACAAAACGCTACTTTTTCTTCGACCATACTCAGTTTTAGAAGTGACTTGGTAGAGTACAAAAATAATAGAAACAGTTCTAATCGACTTCAAGGAAGTCGTATCTGTCGACGTAAATATAGTCAGCCGTGTAATTTTTATTATGAAGTTTCTTATCATTTACAGTCACATAAATAAAAGTGGCGAACCTATGAACCAATTGGAATAAAAAT